TCCGTCATTATGGTCTTTCCTTCCCATCTAAATGTACTTGTAAAGAAACTTTCCTGTCTGACTACCCAGGAGCCACTCTGGCAGCTACACTCCCACCTCCAGGATTGTAATTGCTAGGACCCAGGACCCTTTACAGCAGGCACCTCCAGTGACCAACGGGTGCCCCACTTGACTCCCTGGACACCCCACACTCACACAATCAGACAAAGTTTCCTTATTGGCTCGATGGTCGGTTTCCCATAGCAGAGTCTCAGATGTCTGGATCCTTTGAGTAATTTAGTCATTGTCGAACAACAGAATAACTGCTCGAGATAGTGCCCCTGGGGAGGGACACCCAACAAAAGGAATCCTGGGAATTTTGTACTCTTACAGTCTGTGTATGCAGTAGTCTGAGGCCCTCCTGCTGTGTTATTGGGTCCTGCTGTGTCCCTAAGTGCCAGGTCACCTGGCCTATGCCACAGGTCCCCATGCCCTTTGTTGTGCTAGAGGTCGGCACCAGGTCACGGTCCCTGGCCTGAATCTCTCACTGTTTTCCCTCACCCAGGACACAACCTGCAGCTCACATTGCAGCTGCACACCCAGTCACCTTCTCTAAATCATGCACCTACACTTAGGTGGGGTGGGCTGATACCATTGAGCACACTTTCTCTGCTCTTCAAAACCTTTTGCATACTGGGTCAAGTGTTCATCTGTCAGCAGATGGGGGCACACAGACCATGGCTGGGTGTGAGAGGGAAGGGATGTTGGGGGCCTTAAAAGTGGAAGCAGAGGGCCAGCAACAGCTTTTTGTCCTATCACCTTTAGTGTGGGAGCAGTCAACGAGCTTTTCCAATTTTAGAGCAGGGCTCTGTCCAGAGTGAGAGTATGTGGTGGTAAAATATGAGAGTGGGAAGGAAAGCATATAGTCCCAGTGTTGGTGGGATACTTTATTTAGAAAATAATTCTGGAAATAATGCACCTACCTAGAAGCATAGCTACAAAATTGAAGACCTCCAGCGACTACACAGACAGAAAACTGTTGGCCCTTACCTTCCCCTTGAAGACTATAAACTGCACAACCAACACTGAAGTTATGCAGTTTCCTTCCCACTAAACGCACCATCACGTTATTTACTCTGGGCAGAGCTCAGCTTCAAAATTGATAATGTCCAGGCACTGCTCCCACTCCAAATTTGCCGGGACAGATGGCTCTTGCTGGCCTTTACCTTCCCACTGTCCCTGTTTCATAGCGCCACTAGATGGAGTGATGCACTTGCCTATCAAACTCAATGTACCCTGGCACTACGTCAAACCAAACGTTGCTCCAAAATGGAAAATCACTAGGTGTCAGAACAAGCACAGAGTTCTGCTGTTGGTTGGGGCTCTGAGTAAGCATCAAAGGGCAGCAACAGCTGTTAGTCCTGGCCCCTTCTTTATGGGAGTCCTAAGCTGAAGGTTTTGTCTTTTGTACCAAGGCTCTGGTTAGAGTGAGGCAGTGGTTTAGGAAAACTGTTAGGAAGAGGCATAAGGGCAGAAGCTTGGTTTTGGTAGGGCCAGGAGCCAAGGCCACCCAGAAAAGCACATAGAGACACTGGCACACATAGAAAGGCCCAAGGAAGCCCATCGGTCTCAACAAGAGGCACTTTGAAGCTCTGGGTCTGCACAGAAAGTGATAGTGAGAGGTGTAAAGTGAATAAAAGAATACATGGAGGTCCCTGAGCTGTGACAAAGGGCACTTAGAGGACCCTGAGGTACACAGAATGGCACTTAGTGCTCAGAGCCACACAGAAAGGGACACAGAAAGAGATGAACACATGTGGTGGTGTCACTCCCTCCTGCCCCTCCATTCCCCTTACCTCTCATTCCCCACATCCCCCTTACTTCTCACTTAAGCCATAACCACAAGTGGGGGTTGTAATGGCTGTATCCAGTTTACTCTGTCTTTGGGGGCAGATGGCAATGTGGTAGCCAAGGGCTGTCTCAAATGGTGAGCCAGATGTCCAGCAGGTATGGAACTATGAGTATAATCTTACTCCATAAGCAGTGGACAACCCAGGGCCAGTTGAGCTCTCCTGTACATCATCAGGCTGCACACCAGGATCTTCCCTTGAGCAGGGGAGCCTCTCAAGAGTCTCCTTGAGAAACTTTCTCTAGCTGAGAGTTTCCTTGCCACAGACTCTGGGTAAGTGATTGATAGCACACTAAACTTCGAAAGATATGTAAAGGATTCATTGTGCATATTTATAATCCTATAGATAAAAACTATTGATCAAGTCTGAGACTAGGATTGGATCCAGATGCACCCAAACTGCTCTCTAAGAAGGAGTTTAGTAAACAAGGGGGACCTTTCTAAATTCATGATTCGATGGGAGAGTCTCCCTGACTGTTTTGTCTGACCCAGCCCCTCATGCAGTAAATAATCATAGAATCATGTGGTTTGGGTTGGAAGAGACCTTAGAGACCATCTAGTTCCAACCCTCCTGCCATGGGCAGCTACACATTCCATGAGCAGGTACACCTTCCACTAGAGCAGGTCTGCAGTCCTCAGCACAAGAAACACTTGAAGGGGGTCCAGAGGAGGGCCATGAAAATGACCAGAGGGCTGAAGCACCTCTCCTACAAAGACAGGTTGAGATAGCTGGGATTGTTCAGTCTGGAGAAGAAAAGGTTCACTGTAACCTTTCAGTATTTAAATGGGGCTTACAAAAATGAGGGAGAGCAACTTTATGCAGAGCAGATAGTGATAGCACAAGGGAGAACAATTTTAAACTAAAGAGGAGAGATTTAGATTAGATAATAGGAAGAAATTCTTTACTTCGAGAGTAATGAGGCACTAAACAGGTTGCCCAAAGGAGATGGGGATCCCTGGAAGTGTTCAAGGCCAGGTTGGATGGGGCCCTGAGCAAAATAATCTTGTGGGTGGCATCTGTGCCCATGGCAGGGGTTTGGAATGAGATAATCTTTAAGGTCCTTTCCAGCCTAAGCTATTCTATGATTCTATGATTTTAGGTGGTAAATTTTATTTTGAAAGTACTCATCCCTCAGTTCTATGTCCTCTTATAGACTAATTTTATGTCGGGTTTAATGTCCCTGTTTTGTCTGTGGTTAATGATTTTTTCTTTTAGCAAAGTAATTGTGTTGTATTGGGAAATAGGTGCTGCAATAGTGCTGCAATAAAATTTGAGCATTTTTCACAGCATGCCCTTTATACCCTATCCATATCTTAAAGGAATTTATCTTTCAAGAAGGATGTGTGTAGCTCTTATGCAGATAAAAAGAAATAAATGGTTGAAAAGCAGGCATAAGATGAAGATATCCATAGATGCATAATTTTTGGAAGAATACCCAGTGATAATCATCTCTAATATGAATTTCGCAGCATTTGATGGGTAGAGGTGAAGTCAGGACATGATGCAGGTTGTACAGTCAGTAAGAGCCATCGCAGCCATTCCCCCCTAAGTAGTGTAGTAAGGTACCAACTTAAAATGTTATTGCAGCAGTACTTAACTGGATAATTCCAGTTCTTAAATCAAATGCTTTCTGTAAAACACAATTGTTATTGCAGACATGGCCACAGTTTTCTGATTTTCAAGAATGAGACTTTTAGGGCTAAAGAACAAAGGAACTCAACAATGAACTCAGGTTATGTGGAATAACATGCTGTAAAGACATCCATTGGAAAGCAAGACCAGAGCCCCATCAAAACTCCCTGAAAGCCACTTGTGGTTAGCCTAAAATTGTTGATGGATTTAGAGTTGCTTAAATTTGTAATGTGTAAAAACCAATGTCCGTAATAACTACCAAATTACTATTTTTGGCTTTCAAAAAACACAATTGAATTTTCACATATCATCCTTCATTCTAACCAATTTACTTATTGTAAAGTTGAGGTAGGGAGCACCTGAGGGCACTTACTGTATGTTAATTTTTATTGGTATATGTAAAACTGTATGTCATAGGCTGCTTTGAAGAATTAAACATATGGTTGTATAGATGTGGGCGAAAGTTCTATAAAAACCTTGCCACAAATAATAATTTGCATTTCAAAATTAATCTACTTCAGCAAATGCTTATATTCTTTCCAGAACTGCTTCTTCCAAATGCAAAAGTCACATGAATTCACCTTCATAAAGGTTAATAGAAGAAAAATTCAAACTTCTGTGCATGCGAAGTTCCAAAAAGTGACCTTGGATTTCACAGGAGTTAATATTTCCATCAAAATTCTTTATAATAAAAATTATATTAATTCTGCTATATAACAGAATTGATATCGTGTGGACAATGGTAACTCACCAACACAGCACAAAGAACAGTGATAAATAATCGCAGTGAACTCTCTTTTGGCTCAAAAAACTAAATATACCAAGTATATATAGGTTAATATAATTGCATAGATGACATCAATAGGCAAGGAAGATAGCTGCTTGATAAATAATTCAGAATAGTCTTTTTTCTTTGTTAACTTAGTTGACTGAACCAGTTAAATCCAGATAAATATAGAGAACTGAATTGCTCATTTTGAACAACATATTGAATTCTAGCATATCTGAGAAATGCAATGGTTTAGGGTACATTGGATAAGAAAATTGCTTTTCTTATGAAATGAAGGAAAATTTTCTGTGTTACTCCAAAGTATAGGAACCTAACTGGAAGATGTACCTAAACAATTTCTTTTAAATGGCAGTGAAACTGGGCAGAATTTAATACTTCCCAGTGGACATACTGGCTAAGACAGAGAGTGGCAGGGAGTGTTTAAACATCAACATTAATCCTTATTTCTTGAGGAGCAGTAAAGGGCTACAAGAGATAGTGCTTGGCAGAAATCATGAAGGGGAGGACAACTCCAAAACTGAAGTGCTGTTTTTGTTGCTCCAGTCTGTCTTTTGAAGCAATCTGCAATGAGTTCAACCAGATTGACAGAGGGGAGAGAGGGAGCAGAAAAACTCTCCCTCAAGTATCCATTGCAGCTTTATAATTCAGGATGTGGCACATTCTGTACTGAGAAGGAAACATGAGGCAATTCACATCTTGTTCTCCTGCCAACCATGGGCATGCTTTCCAAACTTGTACACCAGCCTTCTGTCCACTCATTCCAAAATGCCTGTTTTATAATAGTAACTGCAGAGGAAAACCAGAAAAGAAACAATGGACAAAGTAGTAGCAGAAGTCACAATAGAGAAGTTTTTCATGTGGACTTCATGACAGCAGAACAGTATGTGAATCACTGTGTTCTTTACAGTCAGAGGGCTCCTCTCTTTCTGTTAAATTGCTCTCAAGACTTTAAACAGGTTTAAACTTTCCCACATGCCTTGGAGTATGCCTTCCACTGTTTGAAAGATGCAAGAATTACAAAGAACTGTGATCTTTGATTTGTTGTACTTTTTCCCCAAGGTCATCACAGTTGAGAAGAAACCATCAGTGTAACTGGAACAGCAAAAAGAGAATTTTTGGGGGATTGCTTGGCAAATGTAGTGTAACATTCTCAACTGAGATAAAGTGTGATTGCTTTGTTGTCATCAACAGTTACAACTCTATACTGCTTTCTATTTAGCCCTATGGATTTTTTTCAGAAGCAAAGGAGGCCAGGAGCTATCTCATGACCTAAAGAAAAAACATGAAGAAAATAACCACCCACCCAATCCTTCCCTCCCACACCAAAGTTATCATAATAGTTATGAAAAATGGATGCTGGAATAGAAGCCAAATGAAATGAGGGATACTGCTGCCCATTAACTCACCAGAGAGCTCTGCTTCATTTTTCATACATAATTCTGTCATTTTTTTTCCTTTGTCCCCACATCTTCGCCAGAGCTTCTGATTTAACAACACGAAAAATGCCTTGTCCACTGTCTTCCCATTTCAGGATGCCACCATTTTCTTCAGGAGAAAGGAGCAGATCCCTTAAAATTCCCACAAATGAGAATTCTGTAGGTCTTGAACAGGAGGAAGACAGATATTTAGTAGATGTTTTCTTATGCATGCCAAAGTACTAAGGCAGTATTTGCAGTACATTTTATTATTGGATTGTCATCCTCACAAACCAATTGCACTTACCTAAATGTAACTTTCAAAATTTTAGTTCATTGCCTTGTTGGAGCTGCCTTCAAATAATTTCCTCCAGAAAAAAAATAAATCAGGTCATGCAAACACCTATGACACTAGAATCCGGGTTTTTTACTCCAGAAATTAGTACATTTTAATGTCTTGAAAAGTTTATGTGGTTCATAACTTCTGTTCCATTGATTGACATTGTATTCAACTTGATGTTTTAAAAGCAATTTTCAAGGTCATTTTAAGTGTTTCAAGTGAAAGATTGTAACAAACATTGCTCGCCTTGAAAACAAGACAGTAGTATGAGGAGTTAGAAAGCCTGCTTCCCAGCATTGCTAAACTCTGTTATTTCAACTCAGTTCAAAAGTTTGTTTGAGAATCAGAAGTGATACAAATAATGTGACTACTGAAAAAGCTGCTAGTACTGTTATATGTAGAAATCACCTTAACTTCAGATTAGTCATTCAGAGCAGCCCTGCAGAGGACTTCAAGGTGCTCGTGGGTGGACGAGAGCCAGCTCTGTGTGCTCAAAGAGGAGAAGGCCAAATGCATCCTGACTGCACCAAAAGCAGCATCACCAGCAGGTTGAGGGAGGGGATTCTGCCCCTCTACTCTGCTCTGGTGAGACCCCACCCGGAGTGCTGTGTCCAGGTCTGGGGTTCTCAGCACGAGAAAGAGATGGACCTATTAGAACTGGTCCAGTGGAGGACCACCAAGATGATTAGAGGGCTGGAGCACCTCTCTTATGAAGACAGACTGAGACAGCTGGGATTGTTCAGCCTAGAGAAAAGGAGGCCTTGGGGAGACCTCATTGTGGCCTTCTGATACCTTAAGGGGGCTTATAAAAAGAAGGGAGAGGGACTTTCTGTATGGGCAGATGGTGACAGGACATCATCATGGCTAGGCTTTGTGAACGAAGATTTAGGAAGGCTCTATCCATGTTTGTTACAGGCACACTGGTGGCTTATGAGGCCAATACGACATAGACATATTCGATTGCAAAAGGCACAGCAGAAAGATTCCTTAGGTGGTGTATTCAGCAGGATACGATTCTTTCTGCATTGTCTTTTCTCCTCGAGAGTGATCCTGTGTGCATTCTCAAAGGAAACGCCAGCGTTATAGATGGTGTGTCTCCAGGCCTCCCGATTTGAGGCCAGAGTAGACCAGTTATGGTGATCAATATGGCCAAGGCTGAGATGTTGTTTCAGGGAGTCCTTGTATCTTTTCTTCAGGGCTCCTCTCTTGCGGCAGCCGGAGGCAAGTTCACCGTAAAGCAAGATCTTAGGGAGGCGGTGGTCCTTCATCCTTGAGACAATGGTTTTAAAAGGGGCAGTGGTTTTAAACTGAAAGAGGACAAGTTTAGATTAGATGTTAGGGAGAAATTCTTTATTTTGAAGTTGGTGAAGCACTTTATATCAATACAAAAGAACAGGTTGCCCAGAGAAGTTTGGGCTGGCCTCTTCCTGGAAGTGTTCAAGGCCAGGTTGGATGGGGCCATGAGCAACCTGATCTAGTGAATGGCATCCCTGCCTATGGTGGGGGAGTTGGAATGATGTGATCTTTAAGGTCACATCCAACCCAAATCATTCTATGATTCTGTGATTCTAAGTGAATAATTGGCATGCAACTGCATGTATTGCGGCACAACAAAACATGAGTTTTTTCTCAATGCCCTCTTCAAAATGCTTGGATTCTGCAGACATAGAGTTTAGCACATGGTATTCATGCATGCAATGCACCCCTCCATGATGTGCAGTCAAAGAATTTCTTGGCTTAGTGCTGTGCAGTGCTTCTGAAATGTCAAAACTGCCTCAGCATTAAAGAACATTAAAGAGGCAAAGGCCCTTCTTTTTTGTTTTAGAAATCTCTCCATCCGCTACATACTGCTGATGTTTGAATACAGTGTTTCCTGTTGAATGGAGCTTATCATGTACAAATAAGTTTACTTACAGTCCTTGTTTGATGACTTTGTTACTTCTGCATCAGTAAAAAAGGAAATGCCTAAAAGGGAAAAACATAATCCAGTGTTCAGTTATTTTCTTCACAAGAATAACTTATGACTGAAATCTAAAGCCAAGTCTTTGTCTACTGCATCATTGCTCGTGAATGTACCTTAGAACAGATGTAGAAAATACAGGCTGCAAAATGACAAAATAATTTTCAACTCATCTGCTGCAAAAATGATTTATCCTTCCCACTATGACTGTGTTTGTGTTGTTTGGGGATTTTTTTTTTTAACTTTTGGGATTTTCTTCTTATGCTTGGCATTGAGTCTATATGTCTCTGATCTTATGATTCATGTGTATTGTTTCTTTTCCCTCTGGTCCCTTTGCACTTCATTTTTGCCATTGTCTATATGACAGCTTCTCTCCCTTTCTTTACACTTAGGTGAGTCTTTTTTTGTTCAGCTCCTTGTCAGGAGAAAAGTACTCCTGCAATCTTCCCTCTCTCCTTTCCCTAAGCAAGTAAAGATCATCTCTATGGCTGAAAATCAGATCTTCACAAGGCTGGGAGTTGTCCGCTTTTTTAGAACAGTATCATCTTTTAAATGAGTATTTACATTCACAACACATAAACAAATGCATTGCATATAAAAATCTGCATTCAAGAAACTTAACTCATGCTGTGAGTGTGGCATAAAAAATTAGGAAAAGCTAGACTTAAGCCTGCTTGTGCAGGCATAGTTTGGTCATTAAGTATGTTGTAGTAATGTCTTGCATTACTGGGCTACATACTGTCTTTCCTCACAGGTCTGATGCAATTTATAAGGTGGATATGCATGAGCATATGTATTTCGTTCACTGTCAAGTGTTCAATCTCTCTACTGACTATAAAAAATTAATTTTCTTAATGAGATTTTCTTCACAGCTCTGAATTCTTTAATTCCCTTAATAACATCCTTATCTCCTGCATTTAATAATTGCTTTCTGAATGACCTCTCTGACATGATATATGAACACTAACTGGGTGGAAGAAAGTGATGCCAGTCAGTCCCACAGAACAGTTCCAACCTAAACCGGAGAGCTGTTTTGTTTGTGTGACAATCTCTAGTCTTTCTTATCTCTCCTAGTCTTACCTGTCCTACTGATGTCTCAGTCACTGCACAACCTCGCTCCATTTTGATAAAGCTTATCCACATATTTTCTTAGGCACCTCCTTTTCTCTGGTCTTCCCAGTCTCTCAAAGATCCTGTTTCAGCTTCAGCCTGCCCTTCCCTGTTTGCTGGATACCCAGGTCACCCTCTACTGCTGCATTCTGCCTTGCCACCTCTCTCCCCACTGGGCAGTTCAAAAGTAGGCAGTGGACCAGGGAGGGATGGAGAAATTCCAGCACATGGTGACTAAGCAGCTGTTCACCACTGGGAGCCACTGGTAGTGTCAGCTACCATGAAGTCCTCCAGGACTTTCATGCCTAAGTTTTTAATCCTTTTTCAGCAGTCACATAAGTCTAGTTTGGTGAAATACTCCCTTAAGCCAGAGAAGGCTGGAGCCATTGAGGGCTTCAAGGAGCTAAAATGCTCCTCAGTTTCTCACTGCGGGGGCACAAGGAAATGACATTCTGAATTTCCCTGCCCAGTGGAAACTCCTTTGTTCATACCATCACAATGAACCTGGGTACAATTGCCCTAGTTAGGCATACACACTAATCTTTGGCGGGCATGACTGTAGAGAAAGGGTATCTGCAGCAGAAATTTCACTTCACTTATTCTAAACTACCAATAACTTAGTTTTTGAACCTTGACTCATTTGAGCATTAATAAGTCTTCAAAGACAAGGTTGAAAATAGTAAATTAAAAGTGTTTTCATTCAAGACCATCATTAATCATACTATTAATATGTTGCATACTGCAGTGATGATAACCTCATCAAACAAAACTTCTTGCTTACTTTTTAAGAAGCAAAGCAATCTTCACTACTTTGAATTACAGGAATAACAATGTGTTATATCTTTCTATATCCCGTCAGGATGTAGACTTCCCTTGGATCATTCAGGTTGACCAGTTTTAGTAGAAAACCAAAGGAGAGAGAAGTGCTCATGGGTATTTAGAGATTTGACTGGCACACAGAGTTGTGCCTGGTCTATGTGTGATTGTGAGGCCTAAGGTAGCAAGAAGATTTTCTACCTGCCGTATTTCTGTGTTCTCCTTGTGCAGTATCTAAGCGGCCTCTGTACTATGCCTTTTTTCAGTGCTCGAGAACGTGGATCCCACATTTTCTTTTGGTGTGAAACACACAAAAATTCAACGCTTTATGTTTTGTGTTTGATTTCTGGAACACTAACCATGCATCCTGATATTCTGTAAGATGAAATACAGGAATTCACCACAAATGCCTGCAGCTTCTAGGAACTCTTCCTGGGTCATGTTGCATAACTGCAAGCCGTTGATATTAAAGTGGGGAAAGGAAATGCAGTTGGCATCTAGTTTGTACTGGTTACAGCAAAACTGCAACCATTCACAGACGTTGTGCTCACTCCAGTATTCTGGGTGGATACATATCCAGAAAGAATTAGGATCTGCAACATATTTGACAAGAAAAAGGAACATTGCAATGAAAAATTCATGGTGCACTTCATTTTAATAAACATATTTCAAACAAAACTAATCCTTCTTCCTTCTCCTGACTGCAGTTTTCCTTCCTTATTCCTCTCAAACGCATCAAGCCCTGTGTTTTGCATTTTTTGCTTCCTATTGTACAGCCTTTTGTATTTCATCCTGTGTGAGATATTTCAAGCAAAAGTGTTTACACGTGGGAAAAAAAAGAAAATGTGCCTCTTAATACTGCAGTCCAAAAAATTTAAAAAGTCAGAGTACAGAATTTGTGAGAATTGAGCACTCTGTAATATAAAGAAGTGATGTATTCCTAGACTAAAATAACTTCGGTCTTAGATGTGAAAATAGTCAAAGCCACCTAGTCACGATTTGTGGCAGATAGGTAAATAACATTAATTTATTACATTTTTTCTAAGAATTCCAGCAAGTTCTTTCATTTATTTAATCTAAAATAATGTTAATGTCATCATAGGGAATATTTGTTTTGTTAGATTAGAAAATGAAAAACATACTACTCTGAAAACACGTCACTGGACAAAGGGCTTCCAAGTAAACTTGCCAAGCAGTTATAACCTAAAACTACTTTGCCAATTAAATTCCAAATTTTTTTTAACAGGCTTCTTTCTGTCCTTAGCAGTGCAGTTAACAGGAAAATGTACAGAAATATGCATATATTTGCAATAATTTTTTCCCCTAGAAAAATACTGATCTTATGCCTAGGCCTGGTAAGATAAATCTATATAATACAGTTAACAAGCATAATCTGTGATTTAAACACTTTTTTTTTCTAGAATCGAAACACAGGCTCTTATTATTGAATCTCGTTGGGTATAGTGATGGGCACACTTTTTCAAAAACTCTGCTTTTTCTTTCCATGATCTAGACTGCTACATACAGGCAAAAGTCTGATCTTACAGTCTTCTTCTGCTGGATTCATGTGCAGCTACCTTTTTTGGGTGATTGTAGGAAGAAGAGGCAATGGCAAGGATATGTCCTTTCTGCATCCATTCAAATAGCATTTAGTGAAAACAGAATTTAAGTATACATCTTGGAATCATTATTTTCATTCATTCGTTACCCAGTTTTCTTCTATTCTTTTTAAGGATGGTTAGTAATTTCTCTCAGTTGAGATTCTTAAACAGTTACAGACCCTTACTTTAGGTTCTTTAAGGATTCTAAATTAATTTTGAATATATTATCTGTAATACTTATATCACTGGAGTGGAGCAAGCATGTGAATGAAAGTAATGTGAAGAAAACAGAAAAGGTTTAGTTCATTTTCACGCCCCACAGCATCTTACAGTTGATCTGTACTTCACAGTTTCTTAGTCCAGTTATCCATTATTTATTATTTCATTTTCAAATAAATCCTGAATATTTGATTTTAGGGATTGCTTATATGAAATTGTAATTATTTAATATAGGTTATGATAGCACTGCAAGTCGAGTGAATAGCATCTGTCTGTCTAGACAGCCAGTTCAGAGTGCAAAATAATGCAAATAGGCTGGAGGAGTTTCCGCAGTAAAATAATTCAAAGGACTTGAAATTGTGACAGAATAACTGTAATATGGATCTTGCATCCTGCATGGCTTCTGTAAAGTAATTAATACTTCTAATTACTTTAATTACAACTCCTAAAGGTTTACAGAGGAATTTGTGGTTGCTTTCATGAATCATTCCCATGCTATAAATATCTTCATATGTATGCACATATAGGATTAATGTAATACTGCATGCTGTGTTTTAAACCCTGAGACGCTACTGTGACATTGTAGCAAAGCCAAGAGGTGGGCAGAAGCTCTGGGTCTGACTTTTGGGACCCATACCTTTAGGATATTTGAATCCCAGATTTTATTCACCTCCTTAGTTAAAAGGAAAATCAGAGGAGCTTGCCATTGGATTAACTTTATAAGCCCTGCAGACTGAACACACCTGGCTATGTCAGAGTCTGAAGGCTTCTGTGGGGGAGAATGGGAGTGCTGGGAGCAGCAGGCTCACAGGCCTTCTGCCAGGTAAAAAACAAAAAGTTTTAAAATTAGGCTATAGCTCTACTGGAATCCCAACTTCAGAGGCTGCTCAAGAGAAGCAGAAAGTTGAATTGATCCTTTTCTGAATCAGGCATATTTTTATTTTTTTTTTAATCCTCTGCCAACAGCCTCCAGCCCCCCTTAGGAAAACTGGAACATCATCATGTCCTTAACTAGACAGATTTACCAAGAGATGGGTATCCCTGTGGGGCTGGGCAGAAATCCAGCCCTGTGTTTCAGGGGCTGCTCTGTGACCTGCTGCCACAAGCCAGTCTAGATCCTTTCCCCATATTTGTGTGTAATATGCAGCTGAGTGAAAAGGTCATGGCTTCCCTTTTCTATCTACAACTTCCCTTTTCTATCTACAACTTCACTTTTCTATCTACAAGAGTGTTGAGTTGCTCATTTTTTTCCTATCTTAAGGTAATATGAAAGAAAAGCTGAAGTATTTATTCTGCCAATCCACAGGTACAGTGAATAACCTTGAAATACTTTGGCCATTGGGCTTGAAACTTTGACTTTGTTTTGATAAATATCATCTTCTCTGGCAGGATTTGTATTGTCATATAAATGACACAGCATGTTTCATTCATGGAACAGCACTCATGTAGTCCAGTTTCTGTGTTTCCTTTGGTTCTGGAAAGGCTCAAATCATTCTTTTTAAATATGCTATGGCCCCTTGAAGTACTGTTGTATATGACGAGCATTTTAAAGGTGCTGACACCAACACCTCACCTTCGCATATCCTCATGTCTTTTCTACCTCATATCAGAGTAAAGAATTCAGGGAGCTTTCCTGTCTTGTAAATGATGAACATGATCAAGGTATTATGCCACTAAGGAGGGAAAGATCAGCCAAAGACATAGACTCTATGAAAGATTTCAGGGGTTTTTTTTAGAGAAAAAGAAAGGGGCAGGTAAAACTTCATATCACCATATAAAAACATAAGGGCCAATAGATCCCCTAATGACAAGAACGCGCCAGAATTGTGCCTAAAACAGGATGATGATGGGTAGCAGGGGGTGCAGAAGAAAACACAGAATTCAGACCTTTTCCATTCCACCATTTTAAGGTGATTTCCACTGCCTGTTCAGCTGCATTGACTATCTTATTGTACTTTTCATGGAGCCTGGGTTGGGCAGCCCTCAGAGAATGGCATCTCTTGACATAATCTTCCCAGACTACAGAGCTTGTTCAGTCAAGAGACTTGATTGAAGTTCCCTAGCTAAAGTGACACCTCTAAAATGAGTCTCCTACTTTGTGGGAGATGTGGTTTTATCGGTGGTGACAAGTGAAGCTGTGGAAGGCAATAAGTCTCAAGTAGGTTCAGGAATGCGTGCCAAATGAAAGACAGCTGTCCAGACTTTTCCAGGGGTACATTGACTGCTGCATGGCATATGCAGGCAAGCTAATACAGTATGTGTGGGAAAATATATGTGGAGGGAAATACTGCCATCAGCCAAAACAAAACTGTCTGGTCTCTTTATATGTAGTCCAGTTTTAATATAAGGTGGGCAGATCATTCCTATGTAACGCGGTCCACCTTTTTATTTGTTGGAAAAGACATTTAATTTAGTCATAATGTTTGAAATTTAGAAGTCAGAGACTGTGTGAATTTTCTGTATTATTTTGCCCTTGTCACCAAGCGCTGGAAAACATAGAGAAGAAATGAAAAATTACACAATATTTTTGGTGTCACGAATTTTAATATCCTCCACTTTGTATTAAAAAAATGCCCTGAGATACAAATGCTGATATATTCTGATAGCCAGAAAATAAAAGCAGTAAAATTACCAGTGTGGGAATGGAAAGGCAAACTAACTCTGTAGTTCTCCCTATGGGACCATGGGGGTGGCTGCACTGTCCCAGATGAAAGTCCCTCTAAGCCAGGGTCCTGTAACTGATCGGGCTTGCTGGAACTTCTTCACATTTTTGCAGAAAATATTTTAGAAACTTACTTTGGGCTCATACATTAAAATACTAGTGTTCTTTTAGAACAGGAGCTAAGCCTAGCAATAGCCTGTAAATCAGTTGTCTTCATCTGTTTCTTTCTAGACAGTCTTGCCATCACTTTCTCTTCGGTTTAACTTGAGCTTCTACTTTGTTTCTACCTAGCACAAAACAGGTTTTCAAAAGACGTTGGGATCACGATCCTTAAGCCTATTACTGTCACCAAAAAAAAGTGCAGGTTGAATGTTATTAGGCTGACCTACATTCTACTCTGGCTGCAGAGCAAAGTACTTTTCTGCTCAAGGGGTGCTTATGCAATGCAGTAGTGGCTTTATCTGTGTGTGCTAGACATGTTATGTGTACTCTTTGGCTACTGTGGAAGAAATGATAAGAGAATTCAAAGGCTGGTTTAAATTTGATTCAGGAGAGAAATTACTGTAACCAGAAAGGACTCCTAGAAAGCCTAAAAGCATGAAGAATTGAGCAATAGAAAACATGTGCAGGAAGAAACATAGCTCCTGCCTTGGTCAGAAAAGGCTAATTACTTCCTCAGCTCATCTTCGCTTAGCAAGAGGCAGTCTGACCTGATTGTTGCATAAAGCTTGTGTCTTAAGAACTAAGGGAGCTTTTCACTTAGCTACAAGTGGAGTTCAACTTAACATGATTGCTCGAGCATAACTGCTGCACCACTGTTCATCTGGATGAATTCAGAGCTGCGCAGGTGTAGCACCACAGACCTTATACTGTTAACTAGTAACAGACCACAGTAAAGTTATATATTGTCAAAATGCCTCAGATGGGCTACTTTGCCTTTGGCAAACGTGTATATGCCAATATCAGAAGTTACCTTGGGATTATTTCAATGTCGGTGTGTGGGTTTTGTATTTGGGGTGTTTTGTTTGTTTGTTTAAAGACGTGGAAGAAGGTTGAATAACAGGCAGATCTTTAATAAAAATCAAGGTAAAAGAAGAAGGGATCCAAAATTAACTTTGAATGAATCATATCAGATATTTAAAAGTGCATGTTTAAATTTTAAAACAGACTGCTTTCTGTGAGTTTGGGAATTCTAAATGAAAGTTAGGACTGTATTCTAAGATGGAATGAAAACTAATATTAAAACCAGTATGATTTTAAAAAAAATTCAATTCCTGCAGGGCTTTAAATATAACCATCTTGAAGCAAGAAGATTTATATTCTATTTCATATGTCAAACTTAGTGATATAGAAACAAAACACTATTTCCTCAGTGGTCATGGATTAGCACCATCAGGAACCATGTGGAAATTACTGTTATTACTCAAAATGTGTCTTGCTAGGAAAAGTCTTTTCCATAAAACGACCAGTATTCTCATGTAAAAGAACAAAAATAGCTTCGTAGGAGAAAAATTTTGCATAGTCGTAATTTTGTCCCGTTTCTAACCAAAAGTTTGGCTCATTAACAGAGTGGGTTGTACTACCTCCCTTTTCAGAGCCTTTTGAATGATTCAACCTGAGCACAGAGAAGAATGCCAGGACTATTCAGGAATTTAATCCAACCATTCAGAAGGGAGAAGATTTCTAACAAGCAGTGCTTACTTAAACTTCTGAACAAGAACCTGATCTGACACCAGAACATTTGGAATAAATTCCTTCAAACAGATTAGAGATTCCCCACATGAGATGTATGGCCTGGTAAAGCATAGGTTTTCCATATGCACAGTTAGAACATTGCACCCTTAACATTGGCAATTTCTGTAGTGGGGAACTCTTGCACTATTAACGATGCATTTCTACAGCTGTTCTGTTCTCTAGTGGCTTTCAGAATCCTAGTCATTGCCATCTTAGTGTGTATTTACCCAGTCTCCACTATTCACTACAAAGTTGAAGAGTGTTTGAGGAACCATAAATCTCCCAAAATAAATTACTCTTCCATTCTATAGCTGAAGTGGTGTATTGTGGGTATCTTTTCAGTGAGAAATGCTGGATTTCAAACTCATGGAGTAAACAAAAGGAGTCAAGAATCTGAAGCCATAGTTGCTGAGCCCCTCATAATGAACTTCAATGGCCTTTGAAAGTTTCTGCTTGAATAAGGTGTATCATGTTTTCAAATAAGAGGAGAAAGCATCAGTTCAACACATTGCATGACAAACAAAACTAAAGCTGCTACTATTCCTGCGCACCTTTAACTGACATGACTGGTGATATGCTTGAACAGGTCAGTAAGACCAGAGCAGACAATGCATATAACAGAAGGCTCAGCAGCAGTTTCAGAATCTGTAGCCTTTTTGCTGCATGATTCATCTAAAATGAATTGAATTCAAATCACTTTTCAGTTTTTGACATTGTACAATTTCTTTTTTCTGTTGGAGCCTGTCTGCATACCTCTTTGATGATCACAGGCAGTGTAGACATCTTTGGTTGTCCCAAAGAGTCCTGTCGAAGATATCAGGGGATCATAAACCATTGTGTTTGGCAGAAATGTGCTCTGAGTTACTGACTCCAGCATCACCTTAAGATATTAATACTTTGGTTGAAGATGGAAAGATAATATTATGGAGCAAAGTTTTAAGGCTATAGGCATTATTCCCTGGCTGTGTATGTATAGTTCTATGAGGTACCATTGCCCACAGTCATTTAAGCTTCAGCTGAAGCTAATGATGATCTTCCGAAAACTGCAGTGAAGGAACTGAGAAATTTAGAAAGAGGGCAGATGACCAATATACTACAGATAGATTTTCAGTAAAAATGATTGTAATGACACAGTCCTAGGAACTTGATAATGAAATCTATGGATATAAAAATAAGAGTGAGCAATGAACCAGTTAGAAACATATACATGATATTAACATTATGGTTCAATAATATCATTGGAAAAAAAGTTTTGAGCAAGTTCTCATACAAATGTATGAGAAAATATTTTTCTGACCATAAGGATGCTCACTTTGTCTGTAAGACACTGCCACAGTTGTCATCCACACCAGAGTGTGAGGATATTAACAAAGTCTGAGAAAAAAATATGCTTTCAAAAGTGATTAGAAACTGAGAATTTATGTAGAAAAATGGTTATTCACTTCAGGGAAGAAGCTTTTTGTACAAAAAATAAGATTACTGAAGAACAAAGTGGTTACTAACTGTTGATATTAGAAACAAGTGTCAGAGAAAAACGATCTATGATAGGAACTAAAGCAGGTACAGAAGAAGAGAATTTTTGCTCATTCCATTTTCTTATACATATATCATGCATGTACGCATGCATTAATTTCCTCAGACTGGAATGGACATGGACTTCCTGCTGTTGAATAAATACATGGACCGAATTGTGGCTCTGGCCTTTCAGACTTCACACAGAACTGCTTAAACCAGTTTTGTCTCTTTTTTTTCCAGACCTAAACTGCTTCTGTGTTTCATAACTAATTTTATCTTGGGTAATCTGTAGAAGAAAGACACCTGAAATGTTTACTAGAGTAACATGGTCTGGTCTTAAAGATCAGTGTGTAATTTAAAACTACTACAAAGTCAAAAAATGTCCAAATAGCTGTGTATACTGAAGAAATGGGAAGCATTCAGAAGTTTTCATGGTCTCCAGAGTTGAAAGAAAAAGCTGATCTTAGTCTAAATTAAGCAATGATGAGATATGGAACATGGAAACATTTGGGAGTCCCCTGAAATGCTTTGATACACTAGAATTCATATATGTGGCAAGGTAATACTTCAGGACACCACATTTTCACCTAGTCATATTATTATGGATGGAACATGGGAGGCAATATTTAGAGATTTTGTCAGTCTGGTAAAAACCTTCATTCTCTATGCATTTCTGCCAAAGTATTTAATGTAGAACACCTCATACATACATATGTGTGTAATTGTGCATTTGGATGAACATTGTATATTCAGTGAGCAATGCAGAATTTTACAGAATTCATACAAAGGGATGTATATGAAACTGCGAGGTCTCAGACATAAAAAAATCACCAGAATTTAAGTTCGTGATGGTCCCAGTCTTCTTTTTTTTCATTCCTCTGACTGAGTGGCCCACACAGGGGAAGATATCTATTTACAAACAATTTATGAAGTCAAAACAGTGACATTTGAATCAGTTCCAAGTTGCTGCAGGATATAATAAAAAGTTTATTGAGTACAACTATAAAATATTTAATTTCTTTCTGAAATTGCTTTACTGTTTAATTCCAATACTTTAATGAGATGATACAGGCTTACTATGAATAGAATTCTGAAGTTCACAGGACCAGGCAGAAAGAAGTCAACCAATATTTACTACATTCCAAGTGTATTGACCCAAGTATTTCTGAAAACCAACAAATTAGAGACTTACTCATGTTTATCATCTATGTAAAAGAGTTCTGTCACTATCATCCCCCCAGTGCAATGAGCAGCCTACTGTGAGTATCCCCTGGTGCCAACTCAGTGGGCAGAAATAAACAACTAAAAGCCAATTGCCATCTTGAAGAGAATAGAATCTCTCTGCAGATCATTGGAGAGACATGATTTAAGAATGATTGCAAAGATAACCTATTTGAAGTATCTCCCCCACTCTATATCTCCCTCTCCACATGTAAGATTTTCCACAAAGAAATGTCTGGAATGAAATTCAGAATCCATGAAACAAGGAAAGTAGATTTGCTCAAGGAGAAATAATATCCGGGAAGATGGATGAACTGTTACAAGCAAAGAGGGGTATGAAAAAAATCCAAGGCCACTGGATTTTAAAAAAAAATTTGAGAATGAGAAACTAAGAAGTGGAATGGCAGCCTCAGTCTCTGGTAAGGACTACATATGGGCTTGCAGGTGTGGGGCAAAGCTGCCAGCTTCAAATCCTACCAACAGGTTTGACCACATGCCTTACAGGCAGCAAAAACTATTTGGGAAGGAAAAATTCTGTTTTACTCATATGCAGTTTACACTGCTGCTCCCATATAGAGCTCTGGATGTTCCAGAAAAAATGTTAATTATTAATATCATTGAAAAAGATAATATATTTTCATGTATTTTATGCAAACAGGATATTGGTTTGGGCCATATTGAATATTATCTTACCGTTAGCAGGTGCTGCTTATGTATGCACATATCTACTTGAATACACTTGGGGGACATAGAAATTGGAGTAGTCAATCAGGTTTTTTCAAACAACAGAAGAGCTTTACAGCTCTTAGTTTTACTCCAGCTGGTGCTGGGTTCACCGAATCTAGAAATTAGTTTTTATATTTCAAACAATCTCTTTTTATTTAGTGAGACACGCCTAAATTGTTAACATATTAAAAGATGCTGAGGTCCATGCTTGTCTCCACCATTAATTCATTAAACCAAAGTCAACTGTTTATCATTGAGAAAACTGGTGATGCACAAATGAGAATGGCAGGCAGTGCATCAGTTGAGTGTCTGATAAAATCGTCACAGCAAAACCATTTTGGCAGCCTATAGCTCTTTTATAAACAATGACTTCAGTAAAGAAATGGAGCTTACTTTTAGGTAGATGATTACTCCTTATGCAGCAGTTAAGTCCAGAAGCAGGTCTTGGGAGCAAGGGGGAGCAGGAGGCTTCGACAGCAGCACAGCCCAGAACTTTAGAAATAAAGCCACCTGCAGGACTGTGATATACGGAACACCTTAGAGACAGGTTGGTTTGGTTTTTCAAGTTCTTATACACACCCTTTCTGATGACAGTGATAATACAGTGATAGTACAACGTAGCCCAGGACCAGGGGAGAAACATTCTCAAGTACAGAAGGTTTACCTTTATCCCATATTGTGCTGAGGAGCCTGTGTCCGAATGGGAATGCTTTAAAGCATAGAGGGACCTTTTCAATGTGTGAAGGGATTCCCTTTTATGGACTTGCTCATTCATACCCTGTTTTAAACATTGTTTGATGTGTTTTCTCCACATGGCTGTATTAACCCCATTTGCTTGCATAGCCCAGGACTTGCCCGGGCTTGCCTAGAGCTGTTTTCCCGCCAGAAGTTGTTTACTCCCTCATTTTCCCGCTCATGCCGTGCTGATTGGCTGAGGAGTGCCGCGGTGCGGGATGAGTCCCCGTTGGTCCCTAATGCCCGACTCCTCCCAAGTTCCTCCTCCT